TGCTGGCCAGGTAAAGGAAAGAGATCTCTAAAAACAAAACAAGGTAGAGAACAACTGAGGAAGATACGCAAGGCTAACCTTCAGATGCATACCCAGGCATATGTACACATACCATACCAATGTACTAGCACACTTGCATGTGCGTGCATGCGTGTGTGCGTGTGCACACACACACAGCACCTACAACACTTGCATTGTTATGTCTCTCCCTGAAGGACGCCCTCTGGATGAACCTCAGGATCACTGTAGGGAAACCTTTAACCAACACTAAGGGTAAATATCTGTGGCAGCTACCAGTTACATAAGACAGAGACCTAGAGAGGGTTTGTGGGCGTTGCACGCCTAATTCTATTCCTCTGTGATGAAACCATAGCCATGAGGCATGGAAAATGGGTCTGAAGTCTGGAATGCTGGCCCAAGGACTTCTCCATGGAGAAGACAAAGAAGAGTGTGATGGGGGACAGTACTGGATTCAGGGAGCTGAACTACAGCCTTTCTCAGGTAGCAATGCATCCTGGGAAGTGAGAAGCTTCTCTGGCCTTTTCTGAGGCATGCCAGATCAGCTGCTAGATGTCTCTCCCTTGTGAAGGAGCACTGGGTATCAGTGGGCTTGAGGGAGGCACAAGATCTCAGGTGTTCCTATTCTGATATTTCCAGAAGGTTCAAGGACCAGAAAATAGTCTAGAAACAGCTAACACTGCCTGAGGCCTGCCGAGGCTGACAATTCACACTCACCTAGCCATCTCCAGGGAGCTCTCACAAGGATTTTCCAGTGAGAAGTAAGAAAACTGAGTCAGGAGCATCCAGGTGCCAGCATTGCTCAGATCTGGCACAAGACTGAAATAAGTTAATCTATCATGTGTCTTGTGGTTTGGATCTGAATTATCTCTAGAAGGCCCATGTGTGAAGGCTTGGTCCCCACTGCAACATTCAGAAGTGAGAATTTGGTGAAGTAACTGAATCATGAGGGCTCTAACCAATGGATTCATTTACTGATAGATTACCAGTTGAGTGGACTACTAGAAAATAGGGGGGGACTGAGGAAACTGAGCCAAACTAGGGGACAAACATCACTGAAGACATGACTTCCTCTCTCTGTCTTCTTGCTGCCTGGACTCCATGCGGGAAGGGATCCTCTGTCTCACACCCTCGCTGCGCTGCCATGGTGTTCTGAACGCTGGACCTACCTCAGGTCCAAAGCCATGGATCCACCTCACCTTGGCCTGACCCCTCATACGTGTCTCTTCCTTTAAGTTGCTTCTCTTAGGTGTTTTCTTGCAGGTGTTGCAATGCTAACTCTGGGTCTATAACAGGGCTTTGAAAGCAAAGAATCGGAGGTTACAATTAGATACCTGAGAACACCTCCTTCAGCTGCGCAGTGATCAAAGGTTTCTACGGGAAGCTACATGAGCTGAGACTTGAAGAAAATGATAAAGTGTAGAGAAAGCCATTCCAGTGATCAGAAGGAGCATGTTCAAAGGTCCCTCGCCAGGAAAGAAAGTGACATGTCCGATCATCAGACCAGTCAGGGTATCTGGAGCACTGAGAGATAAGGAATGGTAAAGAAAAAGACACTAGATGGCCCAGAACTGGATAGGTCTCACAGTGTGTGAATCATGGTCTTCTTAAAGGCCAAGCCACTAAAGAGATTAAACTCCAAAATGACAAGATCCGATTCACCCAGGCCAAGTATGACACAGAGCTTGTCGAATAGAGGGGATCAATAAACAGCGAGGAACATCTGAATAAACAGACTCAAGCTAGATTTCAGAAGAGATGGAAGCTACTGGACTACAGAACATGAGTAAGATTTCAGCTGCTGTCTGTGAGAACAGTTTCTCTCCTAATCCAAATTCACTTCCATGCCTCTCAGCCTGAGCAGCACATGGAGCTGCTGAGATCCACAGGCGCCTCCTGACAGACTCATTCCAGCGATCACTATCAAATGCCTCTATTAGGAATGCTCAGAAGATTGTATTAGCATGATCCAATATTTACGAAATGACACTCTGCTATAATAAGGGGCTGAGAAAATTAAGATTAGAAGTAATGATCATGCCTTAGGGAGGGGAAGTGGGAGGGGAGGAGGAGGCAGCAATCTTACCAGGTTGCTGCCCAGAACCTTGTTTTTTTATCTGTAAAATGGGAAGGGGATGTGATCAGGACAAACATGTGGTCAGGAAGCAGAGTGCCATGGGCCTTTAAATTGTCGTTCACGCCTTTATTACTAAGCTCTCCAGGAAGTGACCCCATCCACGAACCCTTCCCGCACATTGTGCCACGGATGCTCTGTATGTCACACCACATCCCACAGGTACTGAAGATGAAGCTGTGAACAAGGCTGCTGTGGTCCCCAATCACATGGATCTCTCGTCTGAGGACAGCTGTGGTCCCCAATCACATGGATCTCTCGTCTGAGGACAAGGAACCTTAGCCACAATGTGTGTGGGGGAGAAATGTGCTACATTTACAGGGGTCTTTACCAAGAGCCACCCCAGACTGAATGGGGAGAGTAGGGACAGCAGGGCACAGGAGAAGGAAGAGCTCCCTGGGACTGCTGTGTGTGAGTTCCTCAGGCAGGGGAGTCGGGATTTTCTGGCAACGGATAGGAGCCAATATGAAGCAAGCATGGGGGAAGCAGAAGTGGCGAGGGTGGAGATAAGCTGTCAGGGTCTGGAGGGGACAGGGGGTCTCTGTCTTCTCAGAGCAGCAGGGGACCTCACAGTCGTCAAGACAAGCTGGAGAGGGAGGAGGGGCAAAGGGGAACAGACAGTCCTATAGCCCAGTAGAACCTCTTTGGCTCCTGTGTGGAGTGAACTCAAAAGAATAACTCAAAGAACCAGAACAAAGGTCCCCGGGTTCCCAGAAGAGAGGCAGAGGTGGTCTGCAGCAGAAAAGGAGAGTCTAGGCAAAGGAACCAGGCAAACCTACAATAACAGCCAGAGCTGGGGAGACGTTAGGATGAAGAGGCTACCAAACAGGGACAGGGGAGACAAGGAGAGCTGCTGGCTTCTGAATCACTCCAGAGAGTAGACACAGAAGGGGAAAGGGTGAACGAAGAGATCACTTTCAGCTAGGCATATTGGTGGACACTTGCAAGCCCATCACTTAAGAGGGAGATCCTGAGTTTAAGGCTATCTCAAAAAGGAAAGAAGGAAGGGAGGGAGGGAGGGAGGGAGGGAGGGAGAGAGAGAGGGAGGGAGGGAGGGAGAGAGAGAGGGAGGGAGGGAGGGAGCAGGCAGGCCAATTTTGAAAATGTTGGATCCACAAGATGCTACATGATTTTGAAAAACACATGTATGTGCATGAATACACACACACATACTAGAATGCATACAAATGTACACATATATGCACTTACACTCATGTATATACACATTTATATACTGCATACACACATGGATGCATGCACACCCATCACCCATACACACATGCATACATATGCACACACACATATATATATATACTGTAAGATCCAGATTTGATCAAACTCAAAGATGGCCAAGAGAGCATAGAACATGTAGGGATGGTGACACACACTATTAAGCCATCACTCAGGAGGCAGAGGCAGAGAGATCTCTATGAATTCAGCAGCAGTCTGATCTACACAGTGAGTTCCAGGCCAGCCCTGGAATTACTCAATTAATCAAGCACAAGTGTTTTGAGCTCTTGGGATCCTAATGGGATGAATAACTAGGACTGCAGAAATGAAGTCAGCATTACTAAAAAACAATGGGGCAACAGATATAGTTTTTCCATACTGCCTTAGTCACTGGGACATGTGACAATTGATACCTTGATCAGACAAAGTAAGATCCCACCTAACCCGAAATTCCCAATTTAGTACCTCAGCCTTCTTTCTTTCTTTCTTTTTGAGATAGCCTTGAACTCAAGATCCTCCTGAGAAATAGATAGGATGCATGCCTTAGTAGGAACTACACAAATCCAGCCAGGGATCTCCTGCTTTGGAGCCTAGCTCAAAGTCAGAGAGGACACTTCTTCCTCCAGATTCTCCTATCGTCTCTGCCTCTACTTACTGACATCAAGAAACCCTCTTCCCAGAGTCGGCTAAGAGGACATGGCAGTGGGAATCACAGATGTTGTCATTATCTGTGTTCAGATAGAACCTGAATCAATGGTGTTAGAGAAGCCATCCATGAGGAGAGTACAGAAAAAGCCCAAAGAACTCTAGTGCTTAAGGCCAGGTTGAACTAGCAAAGACTAACATGGGTGAGCCTCAGGGAGGGCTGAGGGGCTGGTGGAATATAAGACAGTATGTGCACTACATGGAGTCACTGGCCAGGAAGTCTCCGCAATGTCTTCTCATGTCCTATAGCCAATTGGCTTTCCCACTGTTCAAAAGGATGATCTTAACTTTCACAGGGATATAGGACATCTTGGTTTACATCGCCAGGCAAACTTGTTGATATGCCCTGCCCAATTCACCAACTCTGAGTGTTCTCATTGAGTATGTATATACCTCCTCCAAATACATCCCCTAAAACCCAGCAGGTTCATCTCTCACAGGCCTGCCTCATGTAGGCATCTATCAAGAATTTATATTGGGTAAATAAGCTTGGGATTCTGGATATTAGGGCACTCACCAAAGTAGTAATAATTTAACAATGGAAATCCCAAGATTTGTGTGTACAACCCATGCTTATGTGGCATAGAGGAAAGGAGTAAATTCATCTTTCTAAAATGTCATTACCATCAGACCCCACAGCAAAACTCAGTGATACCCTGCGCATAGATAGAGCTTAAAAATCTCCAAGTAAAAATAATCCCAAAGGTCTCTGGATCCTGATGATGTGTGACGATCACTCTATTCCAAAGAACTCAGTTAGCCTTGTCTGAACACACCTAAAGATGGACAACTCATTATCTATATATTAACCTACTGCTCTCTCACTTCAATCCATAAAAAGGTCCTCCCCATTGTGAGCTACTGCAAAAGCCAGTCACCTCCATCTCAGCCCCAAACATGATGGGTCACATACCTGTGGGCACAGCTGGGTCCAGCATTGGCTTCTCCCATGTGTTAATCTGCTCCCAGGTAAACCCATTGGTCCCCAGAGCCACGCTATATCCACAGTTGCTGTAATGCTCATCAAAAGAACAGCCACCTGTAGAAAAAAGAGAGATGGGTAAGTATAACCCATGCATGAACCTTGGTTAATTACCCTTCCCCATCAGCTCTTCATTTATAGGTTTGAATTTTAAACTCTAGAGAGATGTTGGAGGAAAAAAATAACCAAACCAAAAAGAAGAAGGAGGAGGAGGTGGTGGAGAAGAAGAGAAGGAGAAGGAGAAGAGGAGGAGAAGAGGAAGAGGAGGAGGAGGAAGAAGAGGAGGAGGAGAAGGAGGAGGAGGAAGAAGAAGAAGAAGGAGGAGGAGGAGGAGGAGGAGGAGGAGGAGGAAGAGGAGGAGGAGGAGGAGAAGGAGAAGGAGAAGAAGAAGGAGAAAGGAAAAAACCAAAAGCAGGTAAACTCGATTTTATATTTGCTTTGGTGCTCCCAGGATAGGTTCTAGTATCTGAGAGCCCTGCCCCCACCCCGGCATTTAAGAAAGTTAATAAGGCTAGTTACATTGATTTCAATCTGACTTCCTGAGAAAGTAAACAGCAATATCTCATTCTGAGTAGGAAAAGTGAATGCCATGGCATGTCTCTGTAATGGCTTCCTGCTACAGGCAAGGGGTGCTGGGATGCTGCAGAATAAACAGGAACTTCAGAGTCCAGCAGGACTACATGACACCTCAGCTTTGCAAAACTGTGATTTTTTTTTTGGCCACCTGGTTCATCCCTGGGGTGGGGGGTGGGGTCTCGGTTTCCCCACCTGTGGAAGGGAATATCCACCTTGTAATACGTCCTTCAATGGATTGACTATGAAAAGTGAACACAGAATATACTCTGAACCCACACACACACCTTCCCCCCTGTAAAAGTAGACTGAAAACCCATGCTTCATGGTGTTTAAAGAAGCTGGTGAGGAATTAGACAACCATGCATTTGGAGGATGAGAAAGTCAACAGTGAGTGCTTCTAGAGTCTCCCCTAAAGTTCAAACCATCCATCACCTGACATTATACTGTGTCCATTTCATATTGGCAAGGATAAACTTAGCATATATTTGGGCTGTAAGTCCATTCAAGGTGACATTGAAAGAGATAAAGGATTAGAATGGAGGCTCCAACAAGGAGAGCTGCTGTGACCAGAAACGGGAGCCCACTATTCTGAAGGAGAGAGTTCACAGGGCGCTGGAGGAGAAGAGGATTTTCCCAGGTGGAAGGTTGGAGGAAGGATATCCCAAAGGGAGTACAGCCTGGTCCACAAAAGGAGCTGGTGCCCGCTAGCCTGAGCCTGCAGTGGCCTCCTGGCTGGTCATCCACACATACCCACTCACATTCTAGTCCATCTCTTCTCTATGTTGTCTCACTGGTGTTCAGGACTGCCCTTCTCTAAACACCCATCTGTCCCCATCACAAGTTGAGCCATATCCACTGCAGTGCCTGTGTCCTCTTCCAATTCCTAGGTTGGAACTCACCCCCAAGGAAGTGCTATGACGAGGAGGGATTTTAAGGAGACGCTTAGGTTATAAGGGTTTGGCTCTCATATAGGGCTGGATAAAGGAGGCATGAGGGAGCATGCTCACCTCTTCTGCCAAGTGAGGAACTGTCCAAGAGGGAAGGTCAAGAGGATAACAGAATACATATGACATGAAAGCAAAAGACGGCCTATTGTGAGAAAGGGTGACAGGGGAGGAACAGGGGGATGGAGAAGGGGGAGGAGAAGAGATCAATGAGCACAAAGTGCATGTGAAAATGTCATAATCAAATCTATGATTTTGTGTGATAATTAAACAAAACCAGTGAAATGTAAATAAAATGAAGAGGAGGCAATGTGGAAAAGAAGCTGTCGCCAGACCCTGGGTCAGCTGCTGTCTTGACTGTAGACTTCCAAACCTCCAGAATTGTGAACAAATTTTCTTCCTAATTTTTTATAAATCATTCAGCTTAAGGTATTTTTTTTTTTTTTGGTTTTTCGAGACAGGGTTTCTCTGTGTAGTTTTGCGCCTTTCCTGGAACTCACTTTGTAGACCAGGCTGGCCTCGAACTCACAGAGATCCACCTGCCTCTGCCTCCCGAGTGCTGGGATTAAAGGCGTGCACCACCACCGCCCGGCAGCTTAAGGTATTTTGTTATAGTCACTTGAGCAGGTTTTGAATGCTGGGCTAAGCAATGAAGGGCTGGGCTAAGCAATGAAGGGCTGAACCCATTCAGGAGATGCAGGGGTTGAGGAGTGCTTTGCAACAAATAAAAAAAGAATTACACAAGCAAACATCTAAGAGAGCCAAGAAGCACAACCAAAACTGAAATCTGCAGTAAGATCAGTGGGAAATTTCTTTAGTAAAAAGAGCGTGGGAAATGACTGATGTACTGGTGGAGAGAAAACGATTTGCTTTTGTGTAGGGACTCTCTAATTCAACCATGTCTCATGTGACAGAACAGATAGCATGCTGGCACTGGCCACACAGTGTTTTCCAGAGAGATGTATGAAGCTTAGTAAGGCAGACCAATAACAAACAAGCACGTTAAAGGATAATTACAAATATAAACATGCACTACAGAGGCCACAGTTGGGAGTGGGTGAGAGAATCACTAAGTTGGAGTGGTACAAGATTTCTAACCATGAATTGGAAGCAGATCTGCACTACAATGACCCTCCACCATGCCAACCTCTTAGAGACGGGCACTACATACAGAAAGTATCTCTGCCATGCAGTCCTTGTCAGTTTCTCTGATGCTGCAAGGGCCTTTGCGGCTGAGGCTGCAAGAGGTAGTAACCAAAGAAGGAGTGACAGCAGAAGGCTCCTTCAAGAAGAGCAATCAAAGGCAGCACCATATTCTAGCTGGAGCTACTGTTTTCTTAAGATAGCTAGACTCTGCTTTCTGCCAGAATTTGTCATGGCTTATACATATCTTAATATCTCATCACAAAACAGTTCTAGATACAGGCTCCTTTGTCACACACACACACACACACACACACACACACACACACACACACACACACACACCCCTGCATCTCAGCCAGGCACACAGTAAGGACTTTTTCAGGGTGCCCAGCTTCTCAGCAAAGAAGAGAATATGACTAGAAGAATGTAAGTTTCCATTTGCACTCTGTATGAAATCTAGAGTGCAGAGCATGTTGAGGAGATGCTGTCTAACTGGTCACAATCCCGCTGCATCAGCCCAGTATATTCAGAAGCAGGATGTGTAGCATGGTGACAGTGAGAACCGGGAAAAGGAATAGCAAAGCTGGGTAGGTAGAAGGAGGGAGTTGGAGAACCATGATTTAATTTCATACATGCCCATCTGCCTAAATGTGGCTATGTGCCTGACTCTGAGCTCCTGACTCCTCTGTCAATGGGGAAAGTTTCCCAGGTACCAGACACTGTGTTTTCATAATAAATGCCAAACTGTCTGAGGAAAATGACAACCAGTCCGTGAACACAGATCAGACAAGAGCCTCTGCAGGAATATCCGTGACGAACTTCATATCCCGTAATGAAACGCCACCCCTATCTGAAACTACATCCACACAAGAAGTGCACGGTGAGTCTCATGAGAATGCTTCTCATAATCCTTTTCAATATAAATTGATAGCATCACCCAAACACATGCATCAGGAGAAAAAAACCACTGTGCCCAGTGCCAACCAACATAGATACCTCCTCCCTGCTCATGTGGCTTGATGCAGTGTTTCAAACTACTAAAGAGAAATATATACTTAAGGATGATTTCTTAAGCAATCGTTACCATATTTTCTTCCTCTCAGACAACAGATAAACAATCAGAGTGGTCATGAGCTTGAGACTGGGCACTCTGACAGCAGGTGACATAACCTGCTAGAGACAACTTCCTAACCATTCCCATTTAGTTTCTGGTATACAGGAACAAGATAGCCACAAGGAACCTTTTCGTCATAACATCTAAGTATTCTAGAGGATCAGAAGTAACCAGGAACCCCCAGGGGCCATAGAGATGCAGAAATGGCAATAAACCATGTTGCCATGGACACACTAGGAGTCACCAGGAAAGAAGAGAAGAAATTCAAGCTCCCCCCCGAACCCAGTGCAGGAATCATTCATCGAATCCTCATGTCCTTAAGACGTCTTGTAGGTGATGTTGATCATCCAAAAGTTACATCTATCTGTCTTCTCTAGAGACCATAATACAAAAGGCCTAGCCATCTCTGTAGGCATTTGTGGCAGGCCACTTAAGGAAGATATACGGTCGGAAAGACTCCCCAAAGAAACTCATTTGGACACTGACCTCATTCAGACCCTTAGGTGTCAGCAGACAGCGTCAGGTAACTGCTGTCAAATCTAGCACAGCCATTTGGGGAGGAAATAACACCTTTGCCTCTACTTCCATCCCAAGATCGAGCTCAGATGGAGACTCAGAGAATCACAGGAGGACAGGGAATGGCAACCACCACCCAAGGACTCTCCTCTTGAACAGATGAGCTATTTCATTGGGCAGGTTGAGGTCAAAATGTGGCAAAAAACCCCAGATGCTCTGAGGCAAGTCAAACATAAAGTCAACAGAGAAATGGAAGACTGTAGCAAGGAAATTGGATTTTGAAAATCCATTTGGATTTGGTAATGTATAGCATATCAGCATCTGTAAGGGAGTAAAAATCGTGCGGGATACATACTTTAGGAGACATTAAAGCATAAATAAGGTTTATAGTGCCAATCAGAATTTTTTTTTTAAACATGAGCTCTTCTTTTGAAAATGAGAGAGGAAAAGAATTCAATAAAAATATAAATGTGCCTGCCTCTGCATTTCTCAGATAGGATCCTATGTATCCCAGAGCAGAATTAAGTTCAGAAGAGGGACGAAAGATTAGTTACCTTCTGCTGTGTGCCAGGCACTGTATGTGAGCTGTGTCGATGTATATGTAAATCTGTTTGCATATGGAAGAAGAAAACCCCAGCCCCCTTCTCAAAGACAGGGCTTGGCAAACTTTTCTACAAAGGACTAAATAGTAAATCTCTTTAGCTTTGTGGCTACATGGTCTTTGTCACAACTGCTGAGCCCTGCCTTTGTAATACAAAAGC